CAAGCACAAGCCTGAGTTCGATCCCTGGTACCAAAAAAAAAAAAAGTGCTGCAGAGATTTCTGCAAGTGGAGCCTTCAGGATTGATGATAACAATGGGGAAACATCCATGACTCAGAAAACTTTCCAACTGTCCAAGCGTGTCAATCCCACCAATTCTTATGCATGGTCCACTCTGAGGTGTGGATAAGATAATCTTCATTAATATATCCCCATGCCTCCAGAGCCAAAGCAGAAAGGGAACTGATACATTGTGGATTCAAGCTGCGTAGACAGTCATTCAAAATAATTTACATCCAATCCTTTCTTTAATGTGCTATTAAATCCCTGGGTACATATTTGCTGATACAACATTCACGGTGAGGCTGCGAAGAGCTAGAAGGTACATAAAGTACTTTTTGCACACTTCCAAAGTCGTGTCAGCCCCACCTATCAGATCCCTCACACCTTAATTTCTTGGGGGCTGTAGGATTTGGTCAATCAGGGACTGACACAAATCTCATCGTGAAATCAGTTGATCTGTAGGATGATTTCATGTCAGCTTCATATTACAAATACTTCTAAAAAAATGTGTGAGCTAGTACAGAAAGGCAAACCTTTCTTGTATCCCTAGGCTACATGCAATAGTGTTGAAGGCAATGTTCAAAATTATGTGTTGTGGAGCTACACAAATGGCCAGCCAGCACGCGAGTGACTCTCACTATCACTAGTCACCACAGAAACACAGATTAAACCCGCATTGAGATATTACCTCACACCCATCGGGACAATCAGGATAAGGAACACAGAAAATGTCAACTGTCGTGGATCTGGAGCGATCGGAGCCCCGTACAGCACTATTGGAGGGGATGTGAATTGATGCACCTGCTAAGGAAAACGACATGGTGGCTCCCAAAAGTTAGAAATAGAATTAGCATATGATCCAGCAATTCCACTTATTCTGAAATATTCTCCTGAATATACACCCAGAAGATATTTGAGGAATATTTGTACAACCATTTCATAGCCGCATCACCCAAAATAGCCAGAAGGAAGCAGGAACGACTTGGGAGATGAGTGGATAAGGAAGATGTGGTCTGCACATATAATGAAGCCCTAGTCAGCCCTAAAGAGGACAAAAGTGTTGACTTAAGTTATGACGTGGATGAACTCTGAGGATGTTGTGCAGAATTTTATAAGCTGTCCCAGAAGGACAAGTTCTATACAATTCTACTTATATATAAATTTTCTAGAGTAGTGAAATTCACAGAGATAGGAAATACGTAGTTGACAGGATCTGGGGGAGAGAAATAGAGCTGTGGTTTCACTGGGACAAGGTGTCAGTTCCACAAGATGAATAAATTCTGGAGCCTGGTTGTACAGCGATATGAATACCCTTCCCACTACAGAAATACACATTTTTCTCTATGATTTCTTTTTTTTCCTCATTGAGTTTATTGGTACATTTTAGGTATGCAGAACAGTTACAGTCATCGTTGGGATCTTGTACCTTTACATGACAGGTCTTGGTTCTCATTTTTTCCCTTTATCCCTGCCCTCCCTCCACCCACTCCTCCCTTCCCTATTTACAAATACTTTATTTCCACTTTTTCATTTTCTCATATTTTTTTCTTTTCCCTTATTTCCTTTCCCCCATCCTTCCCACTTCCCCTATATCTTTAGCCCTTTTCTTCCTGTTTCACATTGTCAATTATACCATTAGGATCTTATGTACAATTATAGTTTTTCACACCAGAGAAATTATTCAGTATTTACACATGTGTGACTTATTTATTTCACTTAAGAGTATATCTTCAATATGCACACATTTTAAAATGGATAAGATAGGCTGTGGGGATGTAGCTCAGCGGTAGAATACTTGCCTAACATGCACAGGTCCCTGAGTTCTATCTATTCCCCGGTGAAACAAACAAACAAAAAAAGGTTAATATGGTAAAATGTATCACAGTTCAAAAAAAATATGTATGGTCTCCTCCTTATAAGAATTGTCATTGGCTGCCCAAGATATGTTTTGAGTTCTTGACTAAATCTTCCTAACCTGTGTCTGGCATGGTCTGGGTCAGGGTTTGACAAACAGAAGCTAAGTACATTTTTACTGAATATCAGGGGAAAAGCAGGAGAGAAAGAGGGAGGAAAGGGAGAAGGAATGAACAGAGAATCCACAAAAGATAAATTACAAATGGACAGTCACCAAATGAGAAAATGTTCAGCTTCGCTAGTAATCAAAGAAAAGCCCATTAAAGCAACAATGAGCTTCCATTTCTCACTATGAAATGAGTAAAGATTTTTATTATTATAATTTAAATACTTAATGCTGCCAAGGGTTTGTGGAGATGGATAACTTCAGATGGAACTGGTGCATTTCTGCAAAGAAATGTGATAGTACGTATCAATGACCCTATAAAAGTTCATATGTTTTGACCTAATAAGACTCAATCCCAAGGGACTGACAAAATACTTAGACAAAGATTTAGGGGTAAAGAAACCTATTTATAACAGCTCAATGATCGAAGCTAAATGTCTGACAAAATAGAGAAAATTAGGTACGAGGTGAAAAATTTTGT